TTTTTTTTTTTTTTTTTTTTTTTCTTCGCTTTTTTCAGGAAGACTGCATGTCTGCAGCCATGCACTGAACTTTGCTCTGCCCCTGTGCATGACGCGTACGGCAGGAGCGCCAGCTCACCCTGTTCATTCCTTGGATGTTTTCTTGAACATGGGAGACATGGGATGTAGCTGTAAGATGTAATCAGGTTCCAAGGTGGCTGTTAACTGTTTGTGAAGAAACTGCTCAATTCCATTTCAGCCATGGCCTTTTGGGCTTGTTTAAGGCAATGGTAATTAAAAACCCATTTATAATTTGATTTTCCCTGAGGGCTGTTTGGCTTTTAGTTGAGAGCTGGGTTATGGTTAAGCAGCTCTTTTTTTTGTGCTGTTGTGTGTGTGAGTATATTTCACATGTATTTAAATATCCCTCCATCTTTTTGAATATGTAAAAGTTTTTATAAAAACGACTGACTTTTTTTTTTTTTATATATATATATATATTATCACACTTCTCTTGGACAGCCGGGCCCCTCGTGCTATAGGAAGCCCCCTGTTTACCGGCAGAACCGTAAATCGTAGCTTTTGGCTGCAAAGTGGGGTTCTTGTCTGTACGTTCAGAGAGAGAGAGACCAGCCTGTTTGAGCCATTCTCACTCTGTTTTACTTTCAAGCCTTGTGTGCTTTATAAGAAAGCAAGGTTTCACCTTTGACCTCTGCCATCCTGTAGGTGGTGCTCTACATACACGGCATGTAAAGCATGTGCAGTACAGCTTGTGTGAATGTGACAGCTGTAATGAACACGCGTGAGTAGTCGTGGTGGAGGGAGCTGCAGCGTGGGGGCGAGCTGTGACCCTGCTCGGAGAGCTGAGCTCTCCCTCTCCTTTTTTAGATACCAGACTCCCCTGTAAAGATACTTTGGGCTCTGTCTCAGAAAGTTCTGGTAAGTGCTGTTTGCTTTGCCTTTAACCCAGAGATGTTTTGGATAAAAAAGATACTGATGTCCTGATCCTCCAAAGTTTGTTGGGTGGGTGGGTGGGGGGGGTATGTACTGTGTATATTGTTGAATAATAAAAGTAAATGATCATTATACAAGGTGGAACATGGTTGCTTTGGAGGATGGTGCTGCGGATGAGTTAGTCTAGGCTCCAGGCCCTGGGTGTCTGTCCAGGGACATACTCATGCTTATAGCTGCACCAGAGGCTGCTACTCAGCTGGGCGCCCTTCCGCAGGGGTCTGGAAGCAGTGTTTCACTAGATGAAATTGCTACATGCTAAAGTGTGAGCTGTTCTGCTGGTGCTTCTGCCGCAATCCAAGAAGACCTTAGCATTCCTGATGCCCGCTGACAGCAGAGCTGTGTGCTACCATCGATCTTTCTGCTGATGGATCAGCACTGTGGTGCCTTTCAGGTGTGTCGCCTCGGACAACTTGAGGGAGCCAGTGATCAACCCTGTGAAGGTTCTCTCCTGTAAAGGGGCTATAGTGTTCAGTATGTATGGGCTAACAAGACCCTGCGAAGGTGCCCATACTGTGCATGTCTGCCCCTAGGGGGCGCCTTGCCAGGCTGCGGGGCATTTTAAAATGTTCAGCCTTACTTAATGGTGTGCTTTCCGAGGTGTGGACCTGAATGATAACGGCAGTATGAGAACAGGTTCCTCGGAGTATTCTCACCGGCTTGGGGTGAATAACGCCCGTGTGTCTTTGGGGAGCGGCGATCACGTGACCGCTCTTTTCCTGGGCGGTCTTTCGTTTTCTGTCCCATGAGCCAGGGGCTGCTGTCAGCACGTGCAGGACTGGTTGCTAGGATGATGTACCCGGCGTTGAGGAGGTCAGAACATGCACCTTCTTGCGCGAGAAGATTAAGGGTCCGCTGTCGGTGGCCTGAATACGCATGCAGTCTGGGCTCTGCTCCCCAGTGCATTGATCTGCAGTGATGCCCCTATAACAGAATTGGGTGGATAATACTCATTAAGACAGAGAAGTACTACTTCTGCTTCTTCGTCTGTGATCTGGTTAGTGTCCGAATCGCTCCACTGAGCATCATTTCCATATGCCCGACCAAAATTTAAGATTTTCTTCCATAGGGACTAATGGTGTGTTAGGCAGCTGCGGATGATGCGGTTTTCTTGACATCAACGTTAATAAAGACATTTTATTAAACATCAGCAAAACTTAGTAAACGTACAGATTTGGGGGGGTAGAATTTCACTTCTAAAGTTTTGTTTTTTTTTGCAAATACACATTTCTAAACTTATCCTTGTCAGAGGATCTATTCCGGCACTTAATTCTAAAAGTAACACTCTTAAAGGGGCGGCTTTCTTGCAGCACGGCGGGCGAACTTCACGCCTCCATCAGCCGGACATGATCTCACGGTCTCCCGGCGTCTCTCCAACCGGGATGCGGTCGCCTGCTGGCGGCATAGTCCCCAGCTCCTCCCCGGCTGCCAAGGCCCCCTAACCCTGCCTACTTTTATGACATCAGCGTTTTAAAACGCCCACCCCCAGGCGGCCAGCCCGGGCTGCCTGCTGTGTGTCTGAGAGCCGCTGGTGCATCGTGCTGTTGCTGCCGTCGCCGCCGCTGCTTTTCCTACACTATTCTTTGGCAGACGCGTCCACAACCCCTGCGCTGGCAGAGGGGCGGCCGGCTTGCATTGCGGTACCCCGGAAAGAGCCGCTTGGACGGACGGCACCCGAGCGAGTCCGAGTCGGTCATGTCGCTCTCGGTGCCGCAGAACGGGATGAGGGGAGCCACCGAGCCCGTTATCGAGCTCTTCGTTAAGGTAGGTGGGTCCCTCCCTTCAGAGGGTCCGGGCTCCGCTGTTGAACGTGTTGGAGAGGAGTGTTAAAGGGATGTAAAAAAAAAAATTTAAAAGAGCATTTCGGAGTGTTTCATAAAATAGCGGGGATCACTATCAAGTGAAATGGGACAAGAAAGTTCGCCATTCATGTATACGGGACCCAAAAAGTGTCTGAAACAGTACCGAGGGGGCTGGCGGTGAGGCGGTTTGAAGCGGACGGTCAGAGCCTCGAGCCCGCGGAGATGGGGGAGCGGGGACCGTATGGGATCCAGAACAAAAAACATCCATAATGGCGCTAATAACGCCTAAACTTCGTTTGGGAGAGGGGCAGGTAGCCGGCGGGGTTTCTTAGCTGGTCGGGGTGAGATGGGTAAGTGTGCGGCTGTCTGTCTGGACAGAAAGGTGAATTCAGGCGGAGGCAGCTGGCCATAGCGGGAAACTGAACTACAAAGGAGAAAGTTTCGGAGGAGCCGTGCCGACCAGCAGGGACAGCTGAAGAAGCGGGGGGGGGGGACTGCGAGCGCCCCTACCCCCCCCCAGTCTCCAGACCGCCGTGGGAGGAGGGGCGGAGCGCGCGCCCGCTGTAAAAATAGGCCCCGTCGCCGTGGCGACTCCCTTTGTCCATTTCGCCCCTCGAGATGGCCGCCCGTCTGCAGGCGCTCCGCGGACAATCGCGCCTTTGTGGCGCACGGATGACGCCGGTGTCCCTATGCTTGCCGGGCTCTTGGCAGGGGTACCGCCCACCCCCGGGTCACGCTCTCAGAGTCTTGCTCTGTCTGGCATCCCTGCTTACACCCCCTGTGGAAAGCGGGAAAAGCGACCCAGGGCAAGCACGTGGAGGAGGGGGTGACTGGCTAGAGGCAGGAAGAGGGGCCAGGGGGACGCACGCACGTTCTACCCCCCAGTGCTGCAGTGCAAGGCGCCAACGTGGAGATAAGGAGGATATGGTGTCCCTGGATCTCAGGGTCATTCTGTAGGAGGCAATGCGCAGCCCGGAGGTGTGTGCTCACTGGGTAACTGTTCCCTTAGAGGACCCAGTGCTCGCACAGCTGCTTGATCCCTTATGAGACTGGGGACCCTCCTTTGTCCCCTCACTGATTAGCGGTTTGTGGTGCCTTTGTTCGAGCTACTTGTGTGTCAGGCTGATAGACCCACCCCCTCCCTCCAACTATCACTGTCACGCTGCTCTGTGTATCACTCACACTGACTGTGTCACAGCCGAGACCACAAGGTGTGAGATCAGTACGGTGCTCCGGGGGGGGGAGGGGGGTCGGACCTACAGGATTTCAGGCTCCTCCTTTCTCACCCTGTGCTCCTTCCCTCGTTACCAGCTTTCCTAATGAAGACTGCACAGGAGGAAAGAGTGGGGGAGCGTGCGAAGGCAAACTCACATCATTATAAATTAATCTCATTGCCCTTCGGGGGTGGGTTTTGTCTGGGGAGCGCCAGGTCACTATAGCAACTGTTTTTGTCAGGCTGGATGGGGAGGGGGTGTATAAGCTGGTGCCCCCACTGTTGTTGTTACTGTGGGTGTGCAGTGCCCCCTTCCTCATTGTCCCTGCAGACCAAGGACCTGACTGAGCGCTGTGCTGATGTTCCTGTGAATCCCATGGCTCTGCTCTCACCGTGGTCACACTAGGACATGGGTTGTAGGACTGGTATGAGTATGGTATGAGTATGAGTATGGTATGAGTATGGTATGAGTATGAGTATGTGTATGAGAGTGTCTCAAGCTGCCGAAAACAAATTCCTTGTGTGCCCCAGCACACTTGGCAAATAAAAGCTGATTCTGATTCTGGTGGCTGGTCTTCCTTCATATAGTTTACCAGTGATATCACCATGTTCCAGTGAGTTCTGTGAATCCCTGACTGAGCTCCAGAAGGAGCTCTGTGTTATGGGGGGCCGGGCTGTGATGCTTCTACTCTGGTGCTCTCCCACACATCACCACCCGGCAGTGAGAGATGAACTTAAATCCCCATACCTTCTGGGACCTTAGAGCACCCCCCCCCCATGTGAGTGAATCCGCCTGCATCTGACCAGGGGACGCCCTCCCCGTGCGGCGGGAGTGACCTGCTCTGCTGTTTAGTGGAGACGTTGGTTGCGTGTGCTGGAAACACTTCTCACGTCTGTCTGATATTTCACACCCTGGCTGACCCTCCCTGGGCTGCCCCTGTCAGGCTTCTCACTCTCAAATGAACGGGACAGCAGGAGCTTGTCACCCAATGCCTCGTGCTGAGCATCGCTGCCTGGCACTGCATTTACTCTATGGTTCTGTGTGATTTGTGCCCTACCCCCCCAGGTCTCTTCCATCTTGGCCCAGAAGCAGACCCTCTAATAGGGGCTTTTGGTCCCCGGCCAGCTGGGGAGCAGTGGGGCTGGCAGGGAGGGCGTTTGTGTGAACCAGGGTGTCTGTGCTTGAGTCACAGCCAAACGCATTGCTGTTTGCATTGACCTGCTCACCTAATATGGAGTGGCAGTGCTGTCCTTTCTGACTGTACCAAATGCCTGGTTCTGGTGGGCTGTGGAGTTTGTAAAATTGGCCTCTGGATAAGCAGCTACCCGCCCTAGTAAATACCCCCCCCCAGTGGCCATGCCAGCTACTTGGGAGGGGTGGGAGCTTGCCCCGCTGAGAGTTGTTGGAGAGTTGTTGGAGAGTTGTTTTGTTTTTGGGGGGGGGGGGGCTGCTGTAGCTGGTCTAATTTGTGGAAATTGTGGTCTCGTTGTACAATTTCCAGCCCCCAGATCCTCATACTGCTATATATCTGTTAGCAGATAACAGGATCTCCACATCTGTGAACACTGCAGTCCTAAGCCCTGAGCCCACAAATCGGGGTCAGATTAGCAGAGTCCAAGCTCTGGTAGGACACCGTGAGCCCCAGTTCTCACGTCTGACACAGAGCTGGTGTCCATGTAACCAATATTTTCCTTCACAGCACTGTCCTTCGCAGCTATACTCTTTCGCAGGGTGCTCCATCACAGTAAAGCCCTTTCACAGTGCTCTCCTTCACAGCACTATCCTTCGCAGCTATACTCTTTCGCAGGGTGCTCCATCACAGTAAAGCCCTTTCACAGTGCTCTCCTTCACAGCACTATCCTTCGCAGCTATGCTCTGTCGCGGGGAGCTCCTTCACAGCGAAGCCCTTTCACAGTGCTCTCCTTTACAGCCTACTCCTTCACAGTACGCCAGCTGAGCTGCCTGTGCTGGCGGCTCCTTGCTTCCTACAGCTGCACTACAGAACCTTTTCTGGCGTGCTGGTCCTGCCCGCCACTGCTTCCCTCCTTCCCATCCTGTTTTGGGTAAAATATCAGCTTGTGGCTCTGAAATCCAGGCCCTTCAGACAAACTTCCTGTCTGAAGGAGGAATTTGCCCTTTTTTAGAAGTCTGAAGGATTCTTGACACAAACATCCTGCACTGATGTCACCGCCTATGGTTCAGTGCGCCGAAGTGAATTCTGCACGGTAATTTTCCTTTTTAAACGTTTCCTTTTTTCAGTTGACCGCGTTGACTTTTTTTTCTGGGTTGTTTTGCCAGAGTGTGAATCATTCCCGAATCTCAGCCTGCTTGGGTTTCTCTCTCACCTCCATTCTCCGTGGCGCGTCCGGGTTGCACTAGGAGATGTTTAAAACATCAGCACTGTCCTGCTGCCCGGTACAGAATGGGGCCTGGATGTTATTAGGAGAAAATGGCCGCTGCGTGTTTTATACTCTAGTTCTGTTTCTGCGTCATATTAAATAAAGCTTGCTTTGGGGTACAGATGTTTGGTTTCTGGAGCCAATTTACAGGCTATAGCATGGGGGGTGATTTGTAGTCAGAGTAACAAGCCCTTTTGTGGCAGATGCTATACGACAGACTAACAGGTCCGGCGCTGCTTGTCTGTGGGCCGTGTTGGGGGACGGGGAGCTTGCGCTGATCCTGGGGGTATCGTGGTCTTTTGTTTTTTTTTCGGGGAGGGGGGCAAAGGATGAGGGTTTCTTGGCTCTGAGTCACCATCAGAGAGAGACTTGCTGCTTCTTGTGAACGCAGATCGGGGTGCTGGGTGGTACTTGCCAGCCAGTTACCCACAATGCCATTCTCAGGGCTGTGTCGGGCGAGAGGGCAGGGAGCCGGGGGCACTGCTCGGAGGTGAAGGGGGACTTGGCAGTTTTGGACGAGGGCTATGATAGAGCTGCTAGCTAGTCGGGTGGGGCTTCTGGAAAATTCCTCTCCGTGTAGGACAAAGGGTGCTTTGTGCGGGGATAGGGTAAGGCAGCGGTGCGTCAGCCCGCGGTTCGCACCCTGTGGCGACTGCGCTGTGATGTCGCCAGGGGAGCTCTGGGTGCCCGTGGGGGGGTCATCTTGCCATGCGGCCGCCCCTGCCAGGCTGTGAATGTGAGCTAAGCTGCAGGGTGTGGCGGTGGTGCCTCTGAAGGCAGTGCCTCTGGCCATTAGTTTCCTCTCCTTCCTCTTGCCCTTCCTTCTCACTTTGCCTCTCTGTGAGCCCCCCCCCACTGAAATGCAGCTGGCTCCTAAGGCGCTCAGGGGGACATATCTGGATCTGGAATAATCCCCCCTCCCCCGTCTGTGTCTGAGGGGCCCATCCTGGGGGGGGGGGGGTACTCTCTGCGGATTGCTGATAGCCTCGCCTTCCCCTTCCTCCAAGCTTCTTGCCCCGCTGGTGGCCTGGTGTGGGGTAGTTAGGACCACAAATGGTGAGCCCCCCCCCGCCCCATGGACTGTTTTGGGGCAGTGGGTTTTGTGCTGTTTAAAACTGCTCACTGACACATGGGATTCCCATGGGGACAGTGGTGACTGGTCACCCACCCACCTCAAGAGGTGACGTCCTCTTTGGATTTATGCTCACACTGCACTGGTCTGAGCTTCATCCATGCTTTGATGGCTGTGGGACATGGGGGGTGGGGGGTGGCTTTTAGGGGGGTGGGCTGGACACCCTCTTTGGCGTTTTGCTGTGAACATGCAAGTTAGCTTGAGCAAACAGCCCCCCTGTTCGCCACGTGAGGCTGGGTGTGCAGTGCTGCCTCTGCAGCCTCAGGAGATGCTCTATGGCTTCTTCACTCGCTAGCCCAGTCTCTGTCCCTCCGTGGGGTATGACATCACTGGGTGGGTCCTGTCGCTGTGGGTGATGCCCTCCGGTCAACCAAGAGTGGAGAGAGAGGTTTTTTTAAGTCTGGGTGATTCTGAGGTGTCCGTCCCACCCATAGTGATGACCGGCGATGACGCTTAAATGCCCGTCTGCCTCTCGGTGAGGCAGTCTCTGTCCCTCCGACCGCTGATGTGTGCCGTCTGACTAGGGCTGCACGATATATCGTTTCAGCATCGTCATCGCGATGTACCCACGTGCAAAAGTCACATCGCAGGATGTGCGATGTTAAGTAACAAAAATTAAATTAATTAAGCGGCGTGGACAACGCTTTTGGTGTTTTTTGCTGAACTAACAAATGTCACACTGTTCTTATTCTTAAACAATCCACAAAAGTCTGTCTAACATAATGTAAATCAATTTAAAGGTTTTTGGATACGGGGCCAACACGCAGCTTTGCACCGGCAGCTAACAAACATGTCGATCACAGAACGAACCACCAAGCACAAACATTCTAACCATTTAACCCAGCGTTATTTTGTCACTCATGTTAACTCTCATATGCGATAAGCTTCCATAGTTTAATGCTCATGCTCTGTTTAGTACTGATTAAGTTATCATTACCATTATATTTGGGCTAAATCAAGTCAATCTTTCTAGAATGATTAATTATACCAATAGAGCATCGGTCACTAACAGGCGGACCGCGCCGGACCCGGACCCAGAAGCTGTCCCATACGGACCTGGACCGATATCCAAAATAGAAAGTTATGATTTAAAACCTGATGGGGCCCTTCTATTTTAACCGCCACAGCTTTTGTAGTCTTTTCGGTAGTGGTTCCCACACCAATGCACGTCAAACGCCTTTAACTGCGAAGCGTAGTTCGGCTCATGCAGCCCTTTGTCTGCGCTAATGTGCCATTAGTGTTAATAACAGCAGCAAAGCGACCAAAAAGCTGTAATGTTCCTAACAGAGTGGCTGCTTAATAACAGCAGCGAAGCGAACACCCGCAACCAAAAATCCGTAATGTTCCTAAGAGAGTGGCTGGTCTGTCCTGAAATCATATAGCTGAAAAGTTTTCAAATACAGTATGTATTATATAACATGTTGGATAAATAGACATAGTTTATTGGTGATTTCATGTTCGTGGAAGTTTCCGCTTTTTAACATATGTATAAAGTAATATTATCTGTTGTATAGATCAACTCAGGTGAAACAAAAATTGTACGTTTTCAGCATCTGGCACGCCACTCATGATTTCAGACTTGCGCAGGAAATCTTACGGCAAATCTATATTATTCCATTATAAACCTAAAATGAGCTACGTCAAAAGTGTGTTTACATGGTTAAATACAAAAGCATACTATTTACAAGGTAAGAACTGTTACATATGTGTGCAGACATCTCGAATTGAATTGCACTGAATTAATTTGATTTGACAGTCAGGTACTGATTACATGCTATGTTGATACAACTGATATGCTACTTAAATATACATCACGCTAAATAGTTAGACATTATGATCTTCCGGACCTTTGCTTCAAGAAATTTTCTCTAACTGGACCTCTTTAAATTTTA